TCCTCCCAGGGATCCTTTCTCCGGGTGACTATTCCTTGCTAGCAAGGGAAAAGAGTGCACAGAGAAGAAAATCATCTTACTGACACTTTCCATTGTAGAGACTACTACTGGCTTGAATTTATGTGTGTGTGTGTGTGAGAGAGAGAGAAAGAAAAAGAGAGAGAGAGAGAGAGAGAGGAGTATGAGACTGTGTGTGAGAGAGGGTGTGTATGAGAGAGAGAGAAGGAGTATGAGAGTATGTGTGTGTGAGAGAGAGGATGTGTGTATGAGAGAGAGAGAGAGTGTGTGTGTCTGTTTCTAGCTTTGGGCTCTGACTTCAAAGCACAAGGGAAGTCTGAAGCAGGAAGAGGAGTAAAGACGCCATGGAGAGGGGACAGCTCTGGTGGAAAGCTGGGTCCTATCACTGCTGTGATGTGGACAGTTAAAGATTTGAGAAGAGTCCAGGCCTCTGATGGTTCCTTTAGCTGAAGGAGCCCCTGACTGGTCACGTGACCAAGGCCCATTGCTGCTCGCTTTCTATGCTCTCTGTTGCTTATTTTTAAGCGGAGCAGGGGTGGGAGAAATGTCCGATTCCCAGTGCTTCTGCTAGAGTAGAGTAACTGCCACCAAAACAGCTGTTAACATGGCTGAAGCTTGTTCCTGTTAACGGCTTGAGTCAAGCTAAAGGCCTGGCAGGGATACATTCTGGCTGCTTAGCAGGGAGAGAAATTTCAGAGGTAGCCACCACAGATGGTAGCAGATGTCGTGAAACTCAGAGCGGAAGCCGCCAGGGACCCCACCATCTCAGAGCTAAGCAAAAACAGCCAAGAACTGCTCAGCCAAGCCAACCACAGATTATACACCCCAAGAATCATAGGAAGTCAGGGAGGGTACCAAAGTTTCCTTAATTGATGGCTTTTGTCTCCTTTATCCAGAAATCTGTCAGCCCATGGCTCCGCAAGGATCTGGCATGTCAGCTGTGTGAAGTTGTAAGCGTGTAATTGACATGGACAGTGTTGGCTGCTCCAGGCCAAGGGTTTAGAATGATTCCTTCCATGGTTGTAGGTACCAGGAGCGACTCTCAGTTTCCATTTTACAGTGCCGTGTAGTGGGACCCCATAGAGGCTGCTTGGGGCTGAATAAACATCCCTCCCATCACCCACAGCTTGATGCTGCCAGTTACTTAATGTCTGTGAAGAGACACCGTGACCACGGCAACTCTTACAAAGGAAAGCATTTAATTGGGGCTGGCTTACAGTTTCAGAGGTTTAGTCCATTATTATCATGGTGGGGATCATGGCAGCGTGGAGGCAGACATGGTGCTGGAGAAGAAGCGGAGTTTTCTACATCTTAATCTACAGACAACAGGGAGAGAAAGAGAGACAGAGAGACACAGAGAGATAGACACAGAGACAGAGACAGACAGACACTAGGCCTGAGTTGAGCATTTGAAACCTCAAAGCCCACCCCTAGTGACACACTTCCTCCTAATAGTGCCACACCTCCTACTAGTGCTACTCCCTGGTGGCCAAACATTCACCATGGGGGTCATTTCTAGTCAAACCACCACAGACACTGACGGGTCATGTGACTGAATGTGGGGGTTCACAAAACTTGGTAACTGAATTTTTCTGTTTCTCAATGTTCATCCACCATCAACAACAAAACCTGTAATGAATCCAAGGTGTCTCTGGCTGTGTTCTCACATGTTGCGTCTCAAGGTTTCACTGCAGCCTTGGTTCCGAACACTCAGTGCTTCCATTTTGCACTGTGCCTTCCGCTGCCTGAATCACCTCTGTTCAGATCAAAACTGTTTTCGTGTGTTGTGCAGTGTATGTTCCGCACACGCAAAGTTTGCTTCCGGTCCCATCATGGAAAACAAGCACTTTTTCTCAACTGTCATTCCTCAACACGGATCAGCGTCGTATGTCTCTGGGTTGTGTTGTGATAGAATGTTTAGTTTTAAAAATTGTGTTTTGAGTTGCTGAGTATAGTCTCATAAAACATCATTAAATGAATTTTGGCTTGAGATTAGGACAGAATTTCCAACATTTTCTGAAGTGGGCTTAAACATAATTCTACCATGTTGTACCAGCATTGGTGATTATAGAATCAAAATATCGATCAACTCTGAAAAAAAAACCAAAAACGCCGAACACGCTCTACATTCTGCCATATCAAGTACTCACTCAGCCAAGATTTAATCTTTATGTAAAAATAAGCACACTGATCTCATTAGTATGCAAATTTGCTTCAGTCTTCAGTAAATGGTAAAATTAATGTATATAAAAATTGTTTTAAAATAAATGTTTTTTTTTGTTGTTGTTTTGTTTTGTTTTTGTTTTGTTTTTTGGTTGGGGAGATGGCTCAGTGGGTAAGGGCTTGCTGCCTGAGTGTGAGGACGGGGGTTTGGATTCCCAGTGCCCATGTAAAAGTACGGTGTGGTTATGGTCACCTGTAACCCCAGCAGTAGGGTGGGGGTAGGGATGGCAGCAGCAGGGAGAGGTGGGTCCCTGGAGCTCACTGGCCAGCCAACCTAGCCAATCAGTGAGCTCCAGATTCAGGGAGAGATCCTGTTTCAAAAGAATAGTGTGAAGAGCAATTTTGGAAGATGCCCAATGCCAGTCTCCAGCCTCTGCATGAACATGCACCCTTTGCACACAGGTGCATAGAATAGGCACATACACACACATGCACACACTGAGAGAATAAAAGAAAATAAGTTATAATTTATTATCAGTAAATGTTGGATTCTTGTAGCTTATTTACATAGATACTTGGTGGTGACATAACAATATTTCCACCAACAACAAAAAAAGAATTGCTAGTGGAAAAATTAAGAAACTCTGATCTATAACATATCTATTTGGTATGGCCACGGTCCCAGTGTACCCCACGATCATCTACATACATTACAGTTACATACAAAGTAACTGTATGGAGAGAGGTGTTACAGAGATTCTCCATCTATGAGCGTGAACACAGAGAAGCTATTACAAACATCCTGTTAGACTCTGTTACTTTGTCAAATTGTGACTACGATGTTCTTAGATGTTCAAAGACAGTGCTTCTTTTACATCTGGAGTGCATGTGCGTGAGATGGTCAGCTTTAATGGTCAACTTGACTCAGCCTATAATCTCTGGGAAGAGAGTCTCAGTGAGGAACTGTTGGGGTGGCCTGTGGGTGTATCTGTAGAGGGCCGTCTAAAGTTAACTGACAAAGGCTCAGCTCACTGTGGTTATCACTTTCCCGAGGCAGGGGGTTTGGAAATGTGTAAGAATGAAGAAACTGAGCTGAGCACAAGCAGAGAAAGATGAGGACACATTCGTTGCCCTCGGCTCTTGACTGTGGAAGGGAGTGACAGATTGAAGTTCCTGCCTTGACATCCCCACAATGATAGACTGTGACCTGGAATTGTAGGCTAAAACAAACCCTTTTCTTCCCAACATCGCTTTTTGTTGGAAGTCATTCATTGCAGCCACGGAAATGAAACCTGGACATGTGAAAACCAGAAAACAGTGCTTTATTCTTTAACATGCTCGTTATTAGCTAGAAATCAATGACTAAAACTTTTTCCTCACTTATTTTTTTCTAGGAAATATAGACTATGTTGGGCTATACACTCTCACAGCCATCTATCTTTATTGCATTCTCTCCTATTTCCTATATTAATATCTTTAGACATCAAATGACATCAGTGCCAAAATAATGGTTGTGCCTCTATGATTTCTAGAGACAGTGTTGTCCAGGATCAAGAATGGACTGATCTCTCAGAGGTTTAGAAACACCTGGGAATTTTAGAGATTTTGTTTGTACGAGATTCAGGACGGGTGACCAATGGAGAAAATTGCCTGGAACAGACAGCTAAAAGGGCAGGATGATGGAAAGGCAAAGGCAGCATCCTAAATCCTTCCTTAGCATGTCATGACCCTGGAAGAAGCTCATTTGTCTAATCTCCAGTCATGCACAGGACAGGAGTAATGAAACCCGGCATCACTGGCCCAGCCGAGTTCACACATGTCAGAGCCGTACTACTGCTTTGTGAATGCCAAAGACGCCGCAACAAGAAGCCCTGAGAGAAGACTGATCAAGGTAGAGGGATCTGCTCACTCTTGGCCTTCCTGGCCATGTGCACACCTCAGCTGGTATCACCCACCTCATCCTTGACCTCCTCATTCACATTCTGTGGATTCGGCTTCCCCAACCATCACTTCCTCTCGACACAACACTAAGATTTACTTCCTAGCATTCCAAGTACTGACTGAATAACCCCTTCCATTGGGTTGAAGAAACTGGCCACACACCAACTTTCTACAGAAAACATGAAAACTAGTTTTAAAGTTGACCACAGGGGGTAGATGAATAGACAGGATACTGTTTTTTGGGGGGGAACGAAACTATTCTGTATAATGCTACAATGATGACATGTCCTTATGCGTATGTCTAGATCCACAGAATAAAACCAAGAATGCCTCTAATAGGAATGAGGACTCTGGATGATAACGATGCAACAGCGTTGGTTATAGCAAAGGTGCCACTCTCAGGGCTGGAGAGGTCAGTGGTTTAGGGCACTTGTTAGCCTTACAAGAGAGCCTGGGTGTGGTTCCCAGCTCCCACATGATAGCTTACAACCATCTGTAACTCCAGTTCCAGGGAATCAGATACTCTTTTTTGTTGTTATTGTTGTTAAATCTCTGCGTGCACCAGGCACACATATGGTGTACATACATATGCAGGAAAAACATTCACACACATTAAAAAGAAAAGGTTCCACTTTGTGGAGGATGTTAGTAATGGGGAGAGAGGGTGTGCATGCAGGGGCAGGGTACTCAAGAGGAATCTTTATGTCTCTTTCTTGGTTTTGCTCTAAATCTAAAGCTGCTTTTAAAAAGTCTACTAAACTTGCTTTACACACACACACACACACACACGTGTATGCACACTCGTTCATTCACTCAAACACACATACACACACACACACTCCACACATTATAGAGATGGGTTCTGACAAGTGTGAAAATTTTAGAAATCTAGTTCTTTTATTTAACACCAAAGCAAACATCAAGTGTTTAAAAAATAATGGCACCTGCTTTGAATTCGTTGATGACACCGCCGTGGGGGAAGATCTACAGAGAAATTACAATTTTAGGCAGATACAGAAAACTATGTAGCATCCCACAAGATGGGAGTTCTGCAACAGAGGCTGCGATCAGCATTCCTGACGTTACAGTCAGAGCTGACACTACTGCCCCAGTGCATCTAAAACACACAGCATGATTAGTTGAAATGTTTCTTTTAGGACAAACACAGTAGACATGCTTTAGATAGATGAGAACTGCAACATGTAAGCCACCGTCAGACCTCCTAGGTGTCACGTCACTTCCGGCCTCTCTAAGCACAGACCTGCATCCATGGCAGAAAATTAGACTTTGACTTTACTTCTAACAAGTTACTCAATTCCCATTAATGACACATCTTTTTTTTAAAGCGCTTGATCTCTTTCTGATACAAACAGGCCAATCTAGCTGTTTTCTGTGATTGGTCTTTTTAGACCCCTTAAAAGTTACCTGCTAACTTTGAACCATCTCTCCAAATAAACCCCAGCCGAAGGTCAGAATGAAGAAAACATGCAAAATAGGCTGTTTACTCACACATTTCCTTGTCAATAAGTTTATGTGCTTTTCCCAACCCAGACAATTAGATCTGGATTCAACACCGAAAATGAAACAACAAAAACAACAAAACCACTATACATTCCCATTGAACACACACAGATAGTTTGGTATTTAACATTCAACCCAAAAGAACCAAAGTAATTAGTTGCTGGGGGCTGGGAGAGTAGCTCCCTCACCACATTCCACCCTGTAATTAAGCCTGCTATGTTAGAGAGCACACAGAGGGCAAAGCTTAAACAAAAACAAGAGTGACAGGGCCTTAGTGTGGATGAGTGCCAGCTGACAGGAACCTGGAAACGACTAAGCCACAAGCCTGGATCTTGAGATGGAGAATCCTGTGTTCACAGTCCAAAATCAGCCGGTGCACTTTCAGTTACAGATTCACTGTGGGTGGCTGCTTTGTTGTTGTTTTTTTTTTTTTTTGTTGTTTTTTTTTTGTTTTTTTTTTTTGAGGGGTGGAGTTTTTGTTCCAGCTTAATCATATATAAAATACAAGCTGATGAAAAAAATTCAAAACCCATAGACGGAACGTTTTTAATATTTACTATTCTTAATATTTTCAAGTTCTGTTCTGTCCTCAGGGGTCACTATCCTGGTAACTGATCATCACAATGTCACCCAGGATCCAGAGACCAGCATCTAGAATTCCTCACCAACTCACCTACTTCACCCACAACTGGTTTTCACCAGGAGGAATCAGGGGATATTTACTCCCAATGTAAAGTGCAAAACAAGATGGGCTGATGCCACTGTGACTCAGTTCTAATTTCAGGGTCTGCCCAGGTATCTCTAATTATATATTTATACGATTCATTCCTTCACGGTGTAGGTTACATGTTCAAGAGAATGAAAGAGGGGTTATAGCCCTTAAGAGAATAATGAACTGTGGAATCAAAGTCTCCTTGAACTAAACAATCTTATTGAAAATAAGATGCTCCACAAATTTTCCATAAGCCTGAAACATGTATGCCATATGGACTGCGCATACCCAGGCAAAGAAGCTGATTTGACATTTAATGGCAATAGATGGGAATCAACGTTCTTCAGAAGGGATTCATAGTGATTTGGGTGCCCCCAACTCCATTAGTTCAGAATGGTGCCAGTGTCTAACAGATTCTGTCCAAAGCTCGGTCAGAAGGTGTGAAGTGTACTGTTTTGGACTTTCTTCCCTACTTTGTCGTCAGAGAGAAGAAACGCAAGTCACAGGTCTGAAGAGTGTCACTCAAGAGCAGTCTGTGCAGGGGTGGAGGTCGGCCTATGCCGGGATAGGGACAGAAACGCCTCTTCCTAGGTTCTCCTGGAGCCCTAACTGAGCCTCCCAGGTCCTGGCATGTTCTGAGTGCCACTTGGAAATATTCACAAATAAGCATGGGAGGCCATTCCACACCTGAAGCAGGGCCCAGCTTGCTCCAAGGTGTAGGCAGATGGCGTCTGATGCCTATAGGTAAGGGAGATGGCCGTTAAAATACAAGAATGAGGGAAGGCTGTGGTTTTCCCTTCCTCCCCACTTGGACTAGAAACCCCCATCTGTGTCCTGTGTGGAGACAAAGCCATGGATGGAGTGGGGCTGGGAGCTCCCCCATCCCTGACTTCAAAATCCTTTGCTTTTCATGAAGTTTTGTTAATTAGGATTTGGCCAGGGGTGATGGTTAAACACTTTGTGACTTCACTAGGATTATTGAATTATTGACTTAGAAACTGGGAGTGTGGGCAAAAGTTGGAGTTGTGTGGGTCCCATTCACATGAGCTGGACTTGTGCTAAACTGCCATGTGCTGTCACCCCTCAACCCCCAGGGAATGTCCCTAAGGACAGCCATTTGCAAGTGAGGATACTTAAATCTAAGAAGAGTGTCTTCTGGAAGAAGGTATTTAAGAGTATCTTTAGGCCTTCAGCAGGTGGGCTGGGAGGACCAGGGGGTGGGTGGCAGTATCTGCTCTCTCCCCTTAGTGGTGTACACAGAAAACCGGATTTGCCAGTTAAATGGCAGCCATCAAATACGACAGCCCTTGCACTATTCCTGCTCACTAGCCATGTTTATCCCATGTCCTCAGAGCCCGTATGTAGCTATGAGACAGACGGCAGCAACCCAGCTTCAGCGCTGGACTTATCTCATTCCTGCTGCCCTTCGCGCCCCTAAGCAGGCCCTCCTGATTTCATCTGGGTGAAGGGCTCACACTAATCTAGCCACCATCCGATGAGAGCAAGACTTCCCATCCCTCGTAGTCCTCCAGTGTCCTGCCTCACTGGAGGACACACACACGCTTTACAAAGTTTGATTTTGCTGTCTTTGAGAAAAATAGAACCCGGGCTACACGAGTGTCATTTCTTGTACAAGCTTTTCAATTTGATCTCTGCAGACCTGTGAGCAAAGTGAATCACAGAAAGTGCATGCCGCCCTTCGAGGGGATTTATCACAGTTTAACCATTGCCAGAGCACAAGCCTCCCCAGGGATGCTCTCAGGACCCCACATTACCAAAGCTACAGATGACAAAAGCACTGCTGCCTGCCCCGAGGGTAGGGTGCTGCTGACCAGGGAAGATGAAATCAGGTGTGTGGTGCCCTGGGCGGAAGAGGAGGAAAGCCCATCTGCAAAGCCTCGTGTCTACAGTGTAAAGTGTGGTACTACCGTTTAGTACCTCTGCTGGATGAGCAGGTAGATTTCAATGTTACAGCGACAAGACACGATTGGCCAATGTGAACACTGGGCACATAACAGGACACAGAGCCGCCCATGGACAAGAGGGAGAGATCAGAGAGACACTGAGCCTCCACAGACCCCCAGGAGCTCACCACTGCCAGTCACCTGCGTTTGCTTGCTTCCCTGGATCCTGACATATCCCTGCTGTTCCTGGGACTCAGAACACCGCTGTTAGCAAACATAAAGCTCAATGTGACAGAGATTCATGGGAAGTAGCGGGAGGCTCCTTCCCTCTGGGTCATTCTTTATGCCAAGTGCTCAGTGAACAGGGCTTTAGGGTGCCGAGCTCGCCAGGTGGGCTGGAGATCTGCTCTGATTAAGGCAGTGAGCAATGTGGGGAGAACTCTGGGACAGTTTCACGGTTAAATCACGAACAGGGACCGAGTTGGCAACTGCTACCAGGTTAAGAGGCTCTAATTATTTACACCGCACAGCTCCAGTCCTTGCTGCCATCTTTGGCACAGCCGTTCATTCAGAAATTTGGTAGTATGCACAGAGTTCTCTTCAAAATAAAAACTTGAGAGAATGTGAAGGCAGGAACCGGTGGCTCATCTTGGGATTATTATTCTTTCTATGGCACACAAGATATGGTCCCAGTTTTTACAAAATATTGCTAGAAGAGTCACAGCGAAGAAGGTGCCGAGGATGTGGAAGCGACTCTTCATCATGGGTGAGACAAACTTGGCGAGGGTGGACACGCACACCAGGATGACGGTCATGAAGGCCAGAACCACGTTGATGCATTTCCCCAGCAGCACCTTGGCGTTCACGGCATCCGTCTGCAGTGTCTGCTGCTCCTGCTGATGCAGCTCCAGCTTGGAGATGCGCGTCTGGCAAGATTCCAAGGCTTCCTGAGGGCGAGAGAAGAGCAGGGGTCAAATACTGCTGGAATTGCAGGCCTTGTGGTAACCCACGCCTGGATGTGCCCGAAGCTCCAGCTCAGAACATCTAGAGCCTAGGAAGTTTCCAGTCTCCAAACTGATGGTGAGAGGGATGAAGATATGAAGCAGGAATCCCAGGACTCATTTTACCTGCCTGTCATGGGTAGTGTACACACGTGTGTGCTACCCATAAAACGTCGTGAGGTGTTACGGTGATCTATTTTTGTTTATTGCTTGTTTGTTTGTTTTGGTAACAAGGTCTCTTGTGAAGTAGCCCAATCTAGCCTTAAACTTCTGATCCTCCTTGGGGGTTGATTGGGGGTTGGTCTGGTGCTTTGTAAACTAATGGTAATTACTGGCCCTCAGTCTGGTTGCTGCCTAAAAAAAATTATTCCCCTTTGACCAATCAAAAGCCGACACACTTGGGCAGGGCAGACGGGGTAGGCGTGGCTAAGGTTCATGGGCTTTGAGGACAGGAGGCTCTGGGAAGGGGAAGCAGAAAAGTATTGCAGGAGGAAGAAGAGGGCCAGCATGAGTTGGCATGGGAGAAGCACATGGCTGCATGGCCAAGGAAGCCGCCCATATGAGAGAATAAGCAAGTGTTTATGGGATTATGGAAGTGGCTAGCCTGGGATGGGGCGGGAGGTAAAGGTAATTTAGAGGATTAATATCTGCCCTGTGCCAGGTAAGATAAGGCTATTCTAAAATTGATCGGTTGTCTGTGTCTTTTATTGATTGTGATAGCTGGTTAGATAATACTGCTGTAATAATTATAAGGCTAATAATAAACATTGTTAGCCCAATACCTTTTATTTTCGGCAACATACTGGCACCCAATGTGCACATTTTCTTAGAACACGACTAGGCCTTTCACAACAAAAGCCTAAGAGAATCCCTTGACATATCTCTTGAGCAACCATCAGCAGGCTCCATCAATGCAGCACCCATTATCCATCTTACTCCATTTTTCTCCCCTACAGTTCCCACTCCACTTGAAGTCAGCAGGATCTCTTGCTTGCCATGATTTGAGCAGAATTTCACATCCCATATTCCATAATCTATATTCTCTGGAATAGTCCATATGACCTTTGAAAGATTCTGACTTCTCTCCTTATAAAAACCTTTCAGATCGTTGCTTGGCCTTTGTGCAGCCATCTTCTCCTGGTTTCACAGTGCTCTGGCCAAACTGACCTTTTCCAGGTTCTGGAAAACTCTGGGGGACTTTGTTCACGAAGCACATACTGCCGGAAACACTTAAGCGCCTCCTCTCCTCACTACCACTCCTCTCCTCTGCCACTACTTCTGAGGTCTCATCCTCACCGACATTTCTTGAGGGAAGCCCTGACCCAGCACGTCTCTGGCCAGCCCTCCTGCATGGCTGAGAGGCATGTAAGTTGCACGCAGACAGGGACCAGGCCCACCTTGCCCTCACTGTCCACTTCAGAACAGAGCAGTGCTGCATACAGCAGGTGCCACATATCGCATGAAGAGCCTGGGTGCCAGGATGCCAGTTTCCAGGGGGAAAGTCCTCGCCTCCTGTGATGCAGTGTGGCACGCCTTTCTGGCCTCTCTTCTGCTGGCCTCTTGTTGTGATTATTTGCCTGTGTGCTTGTGCGGTTGTGTATGGTCACCTTCCCAGGCTTTAAGCAAGTGTAATGGCTCCAGCATTGATTTGCTTTTTCTTCTGCCGAATATACTCTCTGGGCCAAAGAACAGGGCTCTCTGTTACTATAGCAACTTTCATTATACTAGGCTACCGACCAAAGGATAAAACTTTTTCAGATCTTCACATTTAAGCAGCGCTGGCTGCCGGCACTAACAGGCATGTGTGGAAGGGCGGGCTTGCTCTCGGCTGCGTGGTCCAGGATTTTTTTCCCCCACTTTGGGCACAGCACAAAAAAGGTGACAGACCAAGACAAAGGGTTGGCATTTTTGGCACTTTCACTCAGTTTTGGATAGGAAGGTCCATATCTCCTCAGGCTAATCTTAGAATTCACCTCAGAACTGCTACCAGTTTCTTACTAAAGGAAAGATCCAAGAAAATTAGGCAGTGACTTGCAAGGCAGATTGCCCATGGCACAGAGAGGTATTAAAGCCCCGAGATGGTTAGGACTTCTTTGGTCTAGTATTTAACTTGTTTTGGATGAAGAGGAAGGGATTATCTTCGGTAGTTTAAATAGGAAATTCAGGGTTTTAAAGGAGTTGAGGGCCAATCACTTAACAACAAAAATTTTGTGGGTGTGTGGACCCTTGCTACACGTACCATCCCAGCCCCACTGGGAAGCTCACTTACAGGAACCAAAGGCACAGGCAACAAAGAAGAAATTGGGAGGTCAAAGGCTAAAAGCCTTGAGGAGCGTTGCTACTCAACAGGAAGATAAAAGGAAGAGCAGCATCAGCTTCTTGGCTGTTTATTATGTGTCTGGCGAAGACTCTAGTACAATAAATATCTGATTCCATTTGATCGTCTCACACTTTTTGAAGATGAGGAATCAGAGGCGCGGCACTCTGACTGGGCCAGGGTCACACAGAGAGCGAGTAGTGGAGGCAGCTTTGAACCTCCACGACCCTTGTCATTCATCAAGATGTTCTTTATAGTTCTGACTCGAGACGAAGCTGGAAAAAGCCGAAATGAACCCTTCAGAAGTTAAAGTTCCCTTTGTGCGGCCCCTCCCTTGATCTGACCTCCTCACTCCAGAATATGTTTCTTAAAAAAAAAAAAAAAATGAGAACAATGTTAATCCAAAACCCTCTCCTAAATGAGGTAATTTAGATGAAATTTAGGTACCACCCAGTGATATCCCAGACCTGTTCTAAGTAGGATGGGCCGAGGGCTGGTGAGATGGCTCAGTGGGTAATGCACTTGCAGCCAAGTCTGACAAACTGAACTTGATTCTTGGGACCTAAGAACGGACTCTAGCAAGTTGTTCTCCAATCACCCTATGTGTGCTGTTGTGCGCGCACCACAGCGCGCGCGCACACACACACACACACACACACACACACACACACGTAGGAGTAAATGTAATAAAAATGTTTTAAACAGAATGACTTAACAGCTGAGAGTTCTGTTCGCTGGGCCAGTCAGTGGGGACCCTGAGGCTCCTCACCCAGAGGAAAGCCGGTAGTCCTCCAGTGTCCTCTGGACTCTGGGGACAGTGTTTCCCATCACCTCTGAAGCCCTGCTTCCCAGAACTGTCCGAGCCGTCCTCTGGGACCTCTGGGATCAGCGAACACCGCCAGCAGGACAGAATAAAACGAGGGCAGCCGAACTGCAGCGTCCACAGCAGGGGAGACTGCCATCTTTTACGCTTCAGCCTTCTCCCATGTAAAGTGGGAGTCCCAGCATGAATGGCCTTCCTTCAGCTCAGGAAAATACCCACTGACTACAGAGAAAATCTGAAAAGGTGAGACTGAGTGTTACTCGTTTTGATTTTTATTTCTTTTAAAAGGTGACCAAGAGGCTGAGGGCTGTTACACAGCAGCCTAGGGACTGAAGGAGGAAGCCCAGCATGCTGTCTTTGTTCATGACATACATTTTATGTGGGTACACTCATCCCTTCCTGCCAATCTTCCAGACCCAGCCTATCCCTTCCAGTCCAGCCTTCTTAGTCATTCTTAAAGAACAATTTACAAGGCCTTGTTCAGGCCACTTTGTGCCTTGGTCTACAGATCTGAGAAATGGGAGCAATAGTAGGAACAAACTCAAAGAGCTATTGGGTAAGCCGACAGTATGGGGCATTGCTAGGGGCTCACAGTCAATGCTTGACTTTCTCACAAGGAGAGACTGCTTTACAGAGGAGCAGACTCAGGGCTCGCTCAGAGCCAAACAGCTGGCAAATAACAGACCTGGGACTCCAATGCAAAGCTTACCATGGAGTGCCTAACTGCCACCCCCACCCCCTGCTCCTATCCGAGCCAGCGAAGCGCAGCAGGACTGGATTTCTGGGACACTGCACTGTAGGATCTACGTGGCTCTTGATCGCGGTGGAGCCATCTGGTGGTTAGACTATCCCGCCTACACAGGAAGCCTCCTGCAGGTGAAGGATGCCTAACACTAGAAACTTCTTAATATTTTGGTGGCACTGGACTTAGGCTAGTTATAAATACTTGCCAACTGAGTTAGGCAGCCAGAGTGCACAGCAAAGCCTACCGGTAACACTGGCCACACAGGCCAAACGGGAGGTAGATGGGAAATGTCTATGTAGAGAGAACAGCCCGCCCCACATGCGTGAAGGCTTAGGGAAATGCACCGGGTTACACTGTTGGATGAATTAAGCCTGGAAAAATCCTACACCGGGGTCTATGTGGGGACCCATACCTGGATGTCCCTTGAGCGTTCATAGGCCTGGTAGGCCACCTTCTCCTCGGCGCTGGCTAGCTCCTGCTTTAGGTTGGCAGTCTCGTGCTGGTGCAGCTCTGTCAGGTCATGAAGCTGGTCTTCAAGTCGCTCATACCTTAACAAAGACAGGGTCCCACACTGAGCACGCTGCACACGTGTTCCAGTGGCATGTTCTAGAATGATGTCCTGTTTCAGGGCCCTGGCTTGTTTCATCCCCTGGATGACTGTTCTTCTGAAAGAGTAGGTCTATTTGTAGGGAACATGGTTTTGGTTACCCCTGAATCCTGATTCTAGAAGGGACCTGACTCTGCAGTCTTAACTGTATGACCTCATCTCTGAGGCTTTACCAAGAACAAACCTGTTTTTTTTTTTTTTTTTTTTTGGTTTTTGCTTGTTTGTTTGTCTGTTTGTTTTTGCACACACACGGCAGCTTCTGGACTAGCTGCCATGATGACAGACAGATTTTGTCAGGGATGAGGTTGTCCCTAGCTAGGAGACAGCTGTGCAGCAAGGACAAGCCAGGACTGGCCACATGTGCAGTGGCTTCTCTTTTCTCCCAGTAATTGAGGGGTCAGGGCTCATGGCCGCCCAGCCCACGAGGAAAAGAATGAAGTTTTCATTACTAGCTTCCACGCCTAGACTCAGCCCCACCCTTTCACAGTAAACACCCCGACATGCTTTTCAGCTCTTGGAGTCTTCAGTGCTAATTAAAAATTAACCCCGGGGCTGGAGAGGTGAGTAAGTGGTTAAGAACACCGGCTGCTCTTCCAGAGGACCTGGGCTCCGACTCCAGCACCCACATGGTAGCTCACAGCTGTCTGTAACTCCGGTTCTAGGGGATCTGAGGCCCTTGTGGGCACTGCATGCACAAGCTATATACAAGCTATATACACGCAGGCAAAAATACTCCTACACGGAAAATAAAAATCAACAAGTCTTAAAAAGACACTTTAGGGTTAAGCTCATCACAAGTTATAGACAGCTTCTGGGACAGGATGTTCAAAAATCCAGAAGTGAAAGACAGCTGCTTTCCCACACCCACCCGAGGAGAAGAGGACTTGTGTCTCCTTTGAAACTTTGTCTTGAGTACTCTAAAGAGGTTGCTGTCTCTAAGGAGGACGCTGCAGCCTAGAATGACTGGCCCATGCCAGTTATAGATATGCACGTAGGTCATCTGATAGGATTTTTTTTTTTTTAAATTTAAAGTAAGTGAAAAGGCTTAATTCAGATTTAATGGTTATCTCCAGATTTGGCTTCATGGGTGGCAAACATTACCTTTGGTCTAAGTAAGCCTTTAAAGCCCCATAGGCAATACACCTCTATCGTGGTGATCTCGAACAAAACACAGGGCGGTGGAAGCACAGGCAGTCCAAAGCTCACACCAGTGAGTATCTGTGACTCGGGATAAGATGTGCATCTAAGACATACTGTGTCTCAAACTATCTGGATGGAATTGAGGTCAACACACTCTTGTGAAGCTCTGGCTTGCAAAACAGTTCCTGTGCGATGAACACACTAAAGTCAAAGCTGCACGTGCAAAGTGAAACAATAGTTTCAGGGCGACACATCCCCAGCAGTACAGCACATGCTTATGATCCAGAAAGCCCTGTTCAAATCTTGGCATCCCAAAAACGCTTCATACAAATAAAAAGAAGCCACATTCTACACTATGACACAAAAATCATACATCAAGTATAAAACAATGTGTAAGTTAAATCGACAATTTAAATGTTATAATATGTAATACACATTTACAATCCATTTTACATTCTTAGAAGTTAACCCATTTTTGATTGAAGTACTTCAGAAGGATCCCTTTATGAGTAAAATGGGGTAAATAATCTCCTAGTTGGTCATCTGCACTCTTTATTAATACAAAAAGCTGTAAACATATAAATGGCAACCTACAAAACATGTGTTTTTAAAAACAGCTGAGAGACCCAAAAGATTTGGATTAATAAATTAATCTCAAAATGGCGTTTGAGAGCCCTCATTTATAGTAAACGGCCTTTCTCTGTTTGTGCGTATGCTACCTGTGTGAACATACTTACATCCGAGCATGTGTGTGTGTGTAGTGCCTGTGTGAACATACTTATATCCGTGCATGTATGTGTATGCGTGTGTATGTATGTGTGGAACCTGGATGTATACACTTACATCCATGCATGTGGCTGTGCGTGTAGAGACCAGAAGCTGATGCCAAGTGTTTTGGGTCTCTCACTAAACCTGGCTAGGCTGGCTGGTCAGCAAGGTCCACAGATCTGCCTGTCTCTACTGCCCCAAGTGTTGGGGTGACAGACTTGCACCGCCATGCCCAGCTTTTACATGGGTGCCAGTTATCTGGACTTAAGTCTTCATTCTTGCATGGCAAGCACTTTATCAACAGAGCCATCTCTCCAGTCCATACACGGTTAAAAAGAAGTTTGATGAACAAAATATGTATATTTCAAACTGACACACCACATAAAAATCTACCTCATTGTCTCACTGTCCGATGAATTAGGTTCCCTTGACTGCTATCATGGCGGGAAACAGGTCTCTAAATTAATATAATAAGACCATCACAGATGTCTGCTGAACCAATATCTTAATATGCATGTGAGTCACAACTTGGCTAATGGCATTTTAAGAGACCCACACATATAATGTCTTCCTCTAATTGTCAGCTTTGAGCCAGAAATTATGGAACTTAGAATTATGAAGGATGGAAAGAATTATCAATCTTTAAATCCCCTGCATCCAGATTTATTGCCAACACATTCATTAGCACATCACTTTCAGGCAGACAGCCTCCTGGCTGGGACCTCATGCTTCTAAAGGATCCCAGTGGGACTCTTCCATGCACGTACCTGTACCTCTCCTCCTGCAGAGTCTGAGAGATAAAGCCATATTCTCTCTTAAACTGCACCTTCAGTGCCTCGATATCCTCTGCCAGCTGGACCTGGGTATCCTTGATCTCCCTCAGTCCCTCTAGGATCACGGCAAGCTTCCCCTGGCTGTCCAGCGTGCTGGCCCCGCCAGCCCCAAAGGACTGGTTCCCATTGCTGTCAGCCGAGCCTGACGTGCCGCTAGAACACTCGTCATCGCTGCCATACTTGGGCTTGTTCACAGTGGTCGCGCTGCCCCCGTAAGCCCTGGGGCTGGCCTCAGGCCTGAACTCTTCCAGGGAATTCTTCAAGTGAGCGATGTTGTCAGCACTGCCAAACTTATTCCGGATCAAGTTGGCAAACTCTCTGGACTTATTGAAGACAAACACGGGGGGCGTGAGGGATACCCCTGGCATGCTCGATTTACTGCTCTCCAGGCAGTGGGGAGCAGTTCGAGATTTCACTTGGGCATCCTTCAGAGAGTGGTGTATTTCCTTCAGGCTGTCTTTAGAAATGTCCTTCGAGCTTCTGGAGGCGCCGTTCTGTTCAATCTCCCGGAGCTTCCTGTGGTACTGTTCCAACTTCTTCTGCAGCTGGGCAATTGAGTGGGCTGACTTCTGGTTCTTCTTCTCAAAGACCTGCTTGATGCGCCCGGCCTGCTGCTTGTCTGCACTGCTGACCAGTTTCAGGTACTCGGCCACGTTCCCGTCTCGGGATGTCTGCTCAATTTTTATCTGCTCGGTGACCTTTAAGATTTTCTGTTTCAGGCTGTCAGCGTTGAGTTTGACCTTGTGGAAGTCCAGGATGCCATCTGGGACATCGAAGTTGAGGTTGGTGTCTGACCCCCCTCGGCGTATGCTCAGGGGTAGGCTGAGGGTATTCATGTCATGCCGTTCTACCTGAAAGAGAATGAGGAACAGGTTGACCACCTGGAGTAAATGACACGTGCATTGTGACAGAACAGTCAGGGCACATGTGGCACATGTGGGAAGCCCTAGATTTCCCAGCTGCTTGCGTCACAAGGTGAACACTCCATGCTACGTTCCCAAGCTGAAGAAGGAAGGACAGCCCCACTCCCTATATCTGTGTGTGCTGACATACTACCTAGATGTGAAATCACATCTCCAACCTCTCCAGATCTGCCGTCTGTAGGTGGTGACGTCAGCTGCCAGGGTATTTCTATGCAGGCTGGAATGAGGAACCCACTGGGAAGCTTGCCAGGCCCCTCGCTGGGTACTCCACTAGGGGCAGTGCCTCTAAATCAGAACTCAGTCATTTAACAAGACAGGGAAAAAGAAAGAAGGAAAAAAAGAAAAACCTTTAGCAGATACATCCATCAAGAAAATTATGTTCCTAACAGAACCATTAAGTAGACGTGACAGAACTGTATGGTGCATGATTAACTGTGATAATTGAATAAAATCACAGCATCTCTATATGAAAACAAATAACTCCAAACTCCAACCGCAGTGACTAAAACAAGTGAAAGAAGATGATGGTGCACTGCATCTCAGCCTTCCCAATGCTGTGACCCTGTGACCCTCATGTTGTGGCGGGCCCCAACCATATGATTATTGCGTTGCTACTTCGTCACTGTAATTTTGCCACTGGTATGAACTATAGTGTAAATTTCTGATATGCAGGATATTGTGATATATGCGACCCAGAGGGGTCGCGACCCACAGCGTGAGGACCACTGTGATAATGCACTGACAGCCTGATACTGCTTTCTCACTCCCAGGTTCACCAGACAAAGAACTATAAAGCAGCATAGTTTGTGCTCTAAAAGGGAAGGGCAAAACGAGGCCTTGCACTAAGCGTGCTGATGTGTTCATAGAGAGTATCTTGTTTGAGCCTTATTACCAAGCGAGGCAAAGAACATGCTAAAGCCACACACATGTAGAGACTGTGAAGCCAGGGTTTGACTCCAAGCCAGTTTTCACCCCGTTACACTGACACTATAATCAGAGGACTGAAGAAAAGTGAGCCACTGTTGGGTCTGAACACAATCTCCATTTATAATATCTGAACTGGAACATACCAGTTGTTGAGGTAACCTTGCACTGATAAGAATAACGCCTTGGTGTTACCCAACCGGGGATGAGGTAACCCTTGGCAGAGGTTACCTCTTCCTGCATTGTAAAAGACCAGAGAGCTAGCAGCGAAAGATTAGTAAGGGATTAAACAGACAGACCTCACTGTGTTCGAGTGACCCAGACTCACTACAGATCATTTTCAACATGAGTGTGAAGCCTTTGCCATCATCCTGAATACTGCCCAGTGCCTTATGGGGAAGGATGGAGCTCAACAGTAGGCAAAGGTTGGCAGGTATTGCCTCCTAGGAAACGTGCACAAGTTTGTTAGTGTTTTCTCTTGGCCCGTCTTCCCTCACACAGTTGCCATGAAGCAAACTCTTGACTCCAGATCAGGGCTGGAGAGATGGCTCAGCGGTCAAGAGCACTGTCTGCTCTTCCAGAGGTCCTGAGTTCAATTCCCAGCACATGGTGGCTCACAACCATCTACATTGGGGTCTGATGCCCTCTTCTGGCCTGCAGGTGTACATGCAGTTAGAGCACTCATTCATAAACATAAGATAGGTAAATTATTTGTAAAGGAGGACAGAGGAACTGTGACTCTGGTTGGCCAGGAAGGAGGAGTGTCAGGTAGTTGGTGATCTTTGGGTCCAGGAGCGTGGTCACAGAGAGCATCATGGAAGGTAAACTCGGCTCATGTCTGAACTGGAACAGCAACACACTCATCCTAGAAAACGATGATTTGAGACAGGCAGGGTAATTCACAGTCGCTGTACGACCAGTGAGGCTGGAAACTGAATTTTGCTGGAGATAAGAGCTGATCATACTTCCAAGGAACTGACTGAGCTCCTGAGGCCTCACAATTGAAATCGCACCACCCAGGCTCTGCAAGGCCCCAGCTCTCCTTTCAAGCCTCAGCTGCATTGGAGGGATGTCACTTATCCTAAGCCAGACAGCAGAGAGTGGAGAATGGGAGCATCCTACGGTCTGTCTCAGTGTCTGCTGCCCCCCCTTCCTTATCGAAATACTACTGTGCTCTAAGGGCCACTCAAATGCCTCTTTCCCCAAGCTTTCCCAGCGCTGCTTTTCTTCATGAGCCGTCTTAGTGCCCTTTATCACGTGGTCCTACTTACCGCTGCTTTTCCTGCCCGTCTGCAGCAGAGTGACATGGGAGAGCCGATGCCACAGTTGCACCCAGCCTCGACCCGCACTTCCTTTATTCTACAAGGGGTTGTCAACAACTGACCAACTGGAGTGACATCACTCTTTATTTCAAGGAGTCTATACTGACGTCACTCAAGGTACCCATAACTTGAGTAAAAAACACAGCCTCAGATGTTCTGGCCATACAGCCCTGATAATTCTAGGGAGAGCTGTTTCCAAGGACCCAGGCTGTTCCAAGTAGATTTAACTGAAAGGAAACCTGAGCGTCACTGTGTGACGATATACACAAACACAAATCAGGACTTTCAGCTTTTAAATGAAGTATAACCCACACTCAGGAAAGATCATGGGATGTAAGTAAGGGTAAAACACGATGAACATTTACAATCTGAACATGGGCTTTCTCAGTGTCTGCTACCCTCCTCCCTACTTCTTATCAAAGTCCTACCGTGCTTCTAGGAGCTGCTCAAACGTAAATACACCGAGTTTAAAGCAGGGCAGAAGCACTCCCAGACCCGTGTCAATCAACAGCTAGGGGAATACAAGCAGTGTCCATTAGTTTGGCCTATTTACACAACATTCTTGTCAAATCCCCCCTCCTTGTTCTAGCCCTCTTGAAATTCAAAGATAGGTCATATTAAGTGACATCTATCTATCTCTATCTATCTATTTGTCTGTCTGTCTGTCTGTCTGTCTGTCTGTCTATCTATCTATCTATCTGAATGAATTCTCCTACTGTCTCTGAAGAGAAAGGTTTCATGGTTTACCTGGTAAATTTCATCAGCAGGGTTATCATCTGTTCACCTTTCTTAAGTTCTCCACACCCCTGGGCTGGTCAGCCACCCAGGTAGTCCCAGTGCAGTGAGCCCAGTTCCCTCAGAGACTGCAGGTCCGGGGCAGCTTTATATACAGGGGCTTGTTTACTCCCAGGAGGCCAGTTGACTTTTGCCTTACTTTACAGTGGAAACAATGCTTGGCATGTCCTCAAGATTCTGGGTTGGGGAAAGAAAGAGCACTTGAAGCTCAGCTGGGTCAGTCCCACTGCAAGCCTCAGTTAAAAATGGCTGAAGACTAACACAGCTCTTTGGAAAGCACATTCTGGTCTTCTATATAAAGCCTGACCATCGAGCAAAGGAGAGGACCAGGTATACATGGCTTGGTGACCACAGGTTCCCTGGGTATTAACTGGAAAAACACGATTGTGTGAGGAAGAGAGATGAGCCCCTCCCTGCTTTGTTTATCTTGGAATTGGCTCCGGGCCCCTGGATGGTGCAACCTGCTTTCAGAATTAGGCTGTGGGAGGAGGTCAGAGGTTCCCGGATCACCTGAGCTCAGCATGTATATGGACTTGTGCATGGGGGAAAGTTGGTTTGTTCCAGCACTGACTATTTACTAACTGCATGTTTTGGGGTAAACTGAGTCACATCTGTGTGATGCTCTCACCCAATCTATTGAGCAGAGTGAGAGAATGGTTTTCATACTCGCCATGACACTGGGATTATAGATGTGTGTGCACAGCCATACCCTGCCATTTGTATGTGCCAGGGATTTCAAGTCACATCCTCATACCAGCCACTCTTACCCACAGTCATTCCCCAGCCCTTCTTTAAAGGCTCTTTGTGTCTGTGTGCAGAGGAGGGAGGCAAGGAGAAGAAAAGTTGTTTTTAGGAGCTGTGGCAACATGGAAGAGAGTAAAGTGTCATCATGTGCTGAGTGTCTCCCCAGATTATACAGCAGTGGGGCTTATTGGTTTCCAGCCCAGCTTCAGGGTTAGTGAAAAACCCCGTCTCAAAGGAATAAGGTGAGGACTAAATGAGCATGACATGCGAAGTTCTCCTCCAGTATACACACATACACACTCAAGAGAGAGAGACTCCATTGTGAAGAGTAAATGGATAATGAATAGTTAAAGAACCCTGGCACACAGAATGGCTTCAATCAATGTTTCTTGTCATCTTTCTAATTTCATTTAAAAACATACCTTTATGTAAAATGTGAAAGAAAAACAAGCACCATTGTATTAACAATGGCTATTTTTGCAACATGGGGTTACAAGGGTTCATTTATAAAATCATGCTTCTGGATTAGCCCATTAGAAAAATAGAGCCAATGTAATATTGTCTTGGCAGGAAGAGTGGTTCTTTTTTTTTTTTAAATGATGGCTGGCTCTTCCAGTCCTCCCACAACAACCTGGCTGCTATTACATGGATAAAAGGCAGACCCTCAGCAGCATCCTAGTGAAATACCATTCCTAATTGTGTTTTCTTCCGGCAGTGGAGACATTTCCACTGCTACCTCAGTGTTCTAAAACAAAGGCAGAGGAAAAGGCTAAGCCCTAGACAGACGTCAAAACCTGACCCTGAGTCATCTCTGCAGTGAGCACAGCCTCCCAAGGTAACTCACATCCACCCCAAATTTTGTCGGTACAATGTGGTCCTCACCAGCGAGCTCAGCGCACACCACTTAGGCTTGCTGGGATGCATCTGGCCCCCTGGTCCCTACAGGAAGAGATCGGCATGTGCTAGGACATTGCAAACCCCGACAACAACGCCAGCAGGAGATGGTGGCTCCTGTGCACTTACTCTGATTAGCATGTTACTCATTCCCCACAGGTCCCTGTGCCCGTCTGAGGTGTCGGAACCACAGGAGGAAGGTTATCGTGGTTCTGCTGTCGTGGATGCAACCATGGCCATGCTGGCCTC